CCATTGTTCACAATCTGAATGGTGTTAGTTTCAGTCACCTGTAAGGGTTAAAATAATCAGTGTTATTTCTAATCCTAATGAAAATGTATAATGAAAAATTGAAGTAAAACTACTATCTTATTGATAAGAAAGTCACAATTAGGAATTTTTTTTCAGATTTTGAGGCAAGGAAATACGTATATTGAATGTCTCCGTTACCTGGACATCATCTTTATACCACACAATGATGGGTGATGGAGTGCCTTCAACCTCACAAAAGAGATTGGTCAGCTGGTTGACCAACACAGACACATTTGTTACTTGTTCTTTATCCTTAATTAGTGGAGGAACTGCAAAAAGAGAGGGCCCATGGCTAGTTTTATAATAAATACTATTTATGAATCTTTACAAAGTATGTTAAAAAGAAAATTTTGAGCTATTTGATAGCTAGAAAGGTTGTCATATTTAAGCACAAGTTTCTTATAAAAGGAAACATATCAAACAATGTATTTATAAGAAAGGTATGGAATTTTTATTTGACTTATATAAGTAAGGTATGTTGTTTGTTACTTTGTCAGAGTTTTGAAGTAAGGATAAATGGAAAACCTATTTTATATATCACTCAAAATTCAAATTGCTAAGATATTCATTAAGTCATATGGGCTCATTACTTTGTTGATGGGAATAATATAACTCCAACTCTATGGAAGTTAATACCCAACAAATTTTTAAAATGTACATACCCTTTGACTCATACAAAATAACACATGTACAAAATTCTTTTTGAAGTGTTACGTATGATAGCAAAAACTAGTTACACCCCATATGCTCATCATTTATAAGGGGAAGCTATGTAAATAAGTATTGCCATTGAAGGGACTACCACATAGGGAGAGATAAGAGTTATGAATATTGACTAACCAGCAAGTTATACATTTAATGAAATGAGACTAAAGTGCAAAGTAATAGATAAAGTGTTCTCTACATGAACCTTTTTACACATCAAAGAAGATAATATATAATTTCCTTATATATGCCTTAATGCACACACTCAAACACACACATACACTGAATAACTTTCCTTATCCCTAGAGAAGATGAATAGCAAATGATTTATCTCAGGCCGGCAAAGTTTTGACAATGATTCTTTTTTTAGCATTTCAGTTTGGAATGATAAAAAGTCACAGTAAAAAGTTGCCATGTGATTAGAATAACTTAAACATTAAAGTTGAAAATGTCACAAATCAATGACTTGATTTTAGCATTTTGATTTGTATTTACCGTGGACTTTAAGGGTGTATTTTCTTTCCGTGGTCCCAGCTTCATTAACTGCGACACAGATGTATTCCCCATTGTCATATGGTGTGACAGAAGCAATAACCAATAACCTGCCATCTTCCAGGAAAGAAATGCCAGGTTCTCGGCCTGTCAGCTCTCTACCATTCCGTAACCATTTGATGGTTGGTTTGGGGGTACCTGTGTAAGAAAGAAAGACTCGTGATACCTTACAACAAAACTAGAAATCATTAAGTATGTTGAAGAGAAATACAGTTTTCGTTATGACTATAATTTGTACTCAGGGATTATGCGACTTTCAATAAATTCCTTCTGACACAGCATTTAAAGAGATTTTATTTAATGCTTCTAATTGTTTATCATGTTTAAGAAAACTTTCATTCCTAGTATAGTATTTGATTAAAGCTGTGTTTGTCAAATATTCATATATAAGGAAAGCAAAGTATTTTCTTGAATGACTTCATGGTAGTTAGTGGGAAACGCTGTTTTAATCAAATGAAGCAGATATGAGGAGAGTTTGGTTGTAGAAATAAAGGCAGAACAAAAACAAGATACAACTGCCATAATATAACAAGATGATTCCCCGATCAAGTGGAGTGAACATATGGTATGTGGTATCTTGTAATTCATATTTTAGGAAGGACTAAAAAAGTAGAGATGTGATACTTATACTACTGATATATTCTGGATAGCTCATACTGTAAACATAAGACCAACATAACTCTTGGTTTTTATACTAAAAAAAAAAAAACTTGAGAAAGCAATGAAAAGATAGCTCTCCTGAATTTATTTATAGCCAGCAGATTGATAGAAGTGAAATGTTCATAAATAAAAGTGATAAAACAGTTTTCGGTGCATAATGGAGCCAAAGGACACACTAGAAATAGGCAAACACTAATGGTGTACTAAAAATACATGTATTGGGCCCTCCCTGGTGGTGCAGTGGGTTAAAGCACAGCACTAAGAAGCTAAAGCCACTTCAGCATGAGTTTGCTCCCCAGTCCCAGGGGTGACCCACATGGTGCAGCAGACCTCACCTTGCCCCCTGCTCCCTTCCGCAGTGTACTGTGTCAGTTGGCCTGTTCGCTCCCCACTCTGTCTCTGGTGAAGCCTCTCACCACCCCTGCACCTCTGGCCTATACCCCAGTTCTTTATGCATAAATAAATAAATCTTAAAAAAAATACATGTATTTAACAAAAAAGTATGCCAGGCACTAATCTAAGTATTTTAAAATTTCACTTCATCTGTCCAAATATAAAAATAAGGCACAGTAAATAAAATGAATAGGATTGTATGAGATATTATTAATAATTTCATATTAGGGATAAATGTTTATAACCAAAAATGTTATATTTTTGGTCATAAAAGCAAAGTATAAAAGAGTAGCAAAGTTAAAAAAAAAAGTAGCAAAAGTATATGAATGTCACTAACGTTACACTCAAAGTGAGTTATAGGTACTTTTTTATTTTTTTAAAGATTTATTTATTTATGTATAGAACTGGGGTACAGGCCAGAGATGCAGGGGCGGTGAAAGGATTCACCACAGACAGTGGGGAGCAGAACAGGCCGAGTGAGGGGAGCAGCAGGAGGGTCAGGAGAGGTCTGCCGCACCATGTGGATCACCTCCGGGACAGGCGGGGATTAACTTACGCAGAAATGGCTTCTTAGTACTGTGTTTTAACCTGCTGTGCCATCAGGGAGGGCCCGAATTATAGGTACTTATAAAAGTGACTAGGAAAGTTATACTTGTGGGAAGTAAAACAAGAAAGATTGGCCTATTTCATTGTGCAGGTAACTTGATGTTGACTGATAAAGTGAAAATACTGGATTACGGTTTTCGGTCACTGTTGTCAAGGAAAAGAGGGGTTCTATTGACTTCCTTAGATCCCACTCATTTTTTTTTTTATGTACTTCAGTAAGATTCCTCGTTAACATATGTGGAGCTAAAAAATGAAAAAGCTAATGAACAAGTGGAAACAAAGAAGTTGTATTATTTTTAACGCATAAATGCAGAACAATTGTGATCAACATCAGAGTTGCTTTAAGTGAGCTCAAGAAGTGTACCCTACGTGAAGATGGGCAACAAGGAACGGGCACCTTTCAAAGTGTAGAAGGGAAGTTAAAACAGCTCTGAAAAACGGATGTTCCACAAAGTTCAACCCTGGAAGTCAGGAGTCCAGTGGAGAACAAGGAACAACAGTTCCCATGGCAGGGGTCCTGCAGGAGTGAAGTCCACAAGAGGCACCCAAAGTGAAATCTTTCTAAAGGTTTCCTCTCTAGGCCTTTTGAATCCTCCTTCACTGGCTCTGGGAATTGTTACAGTAATTCCTCCAATTTGTAAAGCTTATGAAGTTCTTTTTCTTTCAGTGTTGTTAGAAAATAATCATTGGGTAAAACTACTGTTGAGAGGCATAAAATCTTGCTACAGAAACAAAAGACAGAGGGGAGGACCTTCAAGGACTATCGCCTCTGTGAAACAACAGCACAGGGACACATGTGGGAGCATTAAGCACCAGTCACATGGAGAACCTCAGGAGGTTATGGAAGGAATCTTGCTTGGGCATTTCCAGAACTGCTGCAAACCCACTGCAGATGAATGTGGACATGTAAGAATGTTAACCTGCTGGGCATAGCATAAAGGAACAGCAACAGTGCCTCTTTCTTCCTAGGAGACATGGTGGGATAGAAAGTCCAGAAATTCAGAAGATGAGAGGCCTAGAAAAGTCTCAGATGCTAAGTTACTTCTGGGCCCTAGAATTTTCACTGGAGGGTGTTTCTAGGAAAAGAGATTTTTAGATGAGAAGAATTTGGAAATATGAATATGGCTCTAATTTGTACTTCTGAGTGAGATAAATGTATTTTTTTTTATCTGTGATACCTTTTATATTTTACGAAGAAATCTTGTCAAAAAATTGAAGTAATAGGAAGGAGTTACTCCTACCTTGAAAATACATTACATGATGTAAATTGGAAAGAATGGAAGGGTCTTTTCACTGAAGGAAATGAAATACCTGTGAGGGGGAAAGAGCTGTTTTTTGAAAGAGGACTTGGTTTCTAATATGCACAAATGTTAAAACAAAGACCCTGTCACTATGTGGTTTGTCATCACCAGGTAGGTGTTGGTTTGGGTTTGCTATAGATTCCTGAAGTAATATTATACTGTACTGAGGTCCATATATATAAGTATTACACACCTTTTGCAGGACATGGAAATGCAATGCGTTGATTGGCCACCCTTTCTTGGAATGGTGTGTTAAATGGAGGTTCTAGATCTTCCAGTGCAGGTGGTTCTGTTAGAAAAATAAATGCATTATCACAGGATATCCTTGGGCAAAGACAAACTCTGCTAAGATATCTTTCTTCAACCATCTCAAGAAGGGTGACTTGTTATCATTCCTGATTCTCCTTAGATACCTTTCTACTGCCAGACATTTCTACTTAGATGTGACCTAAGGATTTAAAACTCAATTCCACTCTTCTAATTCATAATTTTGTGCTTCCCACACACCTGCTGTTTTCTTTATTTCTTCAGCATCATGCTCCCAGTGTGCCTACATCTTTCATCCTTACTCCTGACCTCCATATCCAATCACACAGTTGCAGTATGTATGTTTTCATAGCTGTGTCTGTCTCTCTATCCATAAGGTCACTGCTTATATCAAATACTACTTTTGCTTGCCAGAAATATTTCAACAGGCTCCTGATGGGGACTGTTTTCTCAAACACCCCCCCCCCAATTCATATTCTAGAAAACTCTCAAAATATTCTCTCTGAACCGCAAGTTTTGTGTGGCTTCCCAGTTTAAAATAATTACTTGTACTCCATTTGTCCATGGAATAAAATTTCACACCTGTTTGTTTTCTACCCCATCAGTGCATCCAATCTCCCTTAACAGTTTTATCACCCAGTAATTTCATAAAGAAATTTGTGACTCACCCTTGAACCCTTCACTCCACCATCTAATCCATCACTACCTACTGATGATTTCCTCCCTAAATTCTTTTTTGACTCCATCCTCTTCTTTCCTCAAGTTCTCCCCCCCAACACTTTATGCTTGAGCTACTGCAACAATCTTCAGCTGTTTCCCCTCATCTTCTCTAGCCAAATCATACTCTCCCCCAAAAGCTACCTTTTAAAATCCCAAAATTGTTATGACACATCATTTTCCAGGAATAACCTATGTCTTTTCAAAGCACTTAAAGTCTAAATTCCTTCATCTTGGTTCATCTGATCCATGATTATGTGTCCCATTTGATCACAGGCCATTCAGTTCTCTATCTGGAGTGCAACCAGCTGAACTTTCTAAGTTGACTGTCCCATTCACTATTTTCCCCAAACCAAAAGTAGCAGGTGGTTCACTTCTCCAGAATTGTTTCCATCATCTGCACCATTCACTCCAACTGGGTTTTCAAAAATAAATATATGAAAATGGATGGGTGTGGTTTTAGTAATGTATGGAGTGACTCTCCTTCCAAAATTAACAGTCATAAAAGTTATATGAAAACCTTCCCAATAAATAAATAAATAAATAAATAACCTTCCCAATAAATAAATATTTTATATAGACTACAGTTTTGTTTCTTTTCCCCCACTCCCAACCTGGCCCTACAAACAGTTTCTATGCCAAACATCACCTTGGACTTGTAGCGTTATGTCTGTTTCCTCGCTGCCCGCTAGGTTAGTAGCAACACAGGTATAAATGCCAGCATCTGAAAGCAGCGCGTGGTGGACGTGCAGTGTTCCGTCTGGACTGCTAGCATGCCGCACCCCATCAAGCAGCACTGCACTGCCGCCCTTCAGCCAGGTGACCACAGGAGGAGGTGTCCCTTGGGCATGGCATGGGATGTCCACTTTTTGACCAACTTGGACTTTTAGAAGTTTAGGGCCACGCTGTATCTTTGGAGGAACTGAATTCAATAATTGAGTTTTAAGAAACAATTTTAAAAGAAATCCCTTCTTTTAAAAAAAAAAAAATTCTAGGGGCCCTCCCTGGTGGCGCAGCGGGTTAAAGCACAGCTCAAAGAAGCTTAAACCACTTCCGCATGAGTTCGATCCCCACCTGCCCCGGAGGTGACCACATGTCGTGGCAGACCTCTCCTGACCTGCCCGCTGCTCCCCTCAGCAGTGTACTTCGTCGATCTGCCTGTTCTGCTCCCCACTCTGTCCCTGGTGAATCCTCTCACCCTCCGCATCTCTGGCTTGTATCCCAGTTCTGTATGAATAAATAAATCTTAAAAAAAAAAATTCTAATTGAGAGCTCCTTACCAAGAGGCAGGCTAAGAAAGTACAACAGTCTCAGGTTTGGGTCCCTGGCATGTGTGATCTAGGGCAGGGCAAATTTATAAATTTCCTGAGGCTTGTTTCCTTAATCATCTAGATAAAATACCCCTTCCTCAGCCATACACTGCTAGGATTATTGGGATTGATAAGGATAAAATTGCTCATTCCAAATTTAAATAAAAGCACTTAAATATGTCTGGTTTCTTTAAAACAAAGGGTCATATAAAGCCAACTTAATAGCAAGCCCTAGAAATAGGACTGTAGGACTGAAACAACCAGAGTAGGAAGGAAGGGGCGAGAATAAGCATGGGGCGAGCACAATGGGCTATGGTGGAGGACTATGGGTGCCCTGGTGGGTGCATGGTGGTAACAATACCTGAAGGGGGAGTGCCTGGGCCTCTAAGTCACAATGTAACATTGTAAACCAATGTTACCTCAATAGAAAAAACATGCTACGGTTCTTTGAATTTTTAATTATTTTAGGTTTAAATAAACTCTAAAAAAAATACAGACTTCTATAATAAAAATGTTCTCTTCATGTACTCCTAGATTTTGTTCCCTTTTAAAGGGTTTAATCAGGTAATAAGAAAATCTTCTTATAAAAGCCTTTGCTAGGGCCTCCCTGGTGGTGCAAAGGGTTAAAGTACAGACTATAAAGCCATTGGCAGCCACTACAGCATATTTGATCCTCTGCTAGCCACAGAGCTGACCCACGGGGCACAACAGACCTCTCTGGTTTTGCTTGCTACACCCCTCAGCAGTGTGTTTCAGTTTATCTGCCTATTCTGCTCCTCAATTTGTCTCTGGTGAATCCTCTCAACTCCTCCCCCCCACTCACACACCTCTGGCAAGTACCCCAATTCTTGTATGCATAAATCAGTAAGTCTAAAAATGCCTTTGATAATTTCAGAGAAGACAATCAAAATAGAGCTTCAATTATTTCCTTTTATCTACCTTCCCTTTGAAATTTATCAAAACACTGACATACATTACTGGACTCCACATACATTCATTTTAAAGTGTAGAATCAAATTGACCCACAAAGACATAATTACAATTCATGTATATTACATGCTTAAGAAGTCCCATCTCTCTTTTTTAAGTTCATATTTAAGAAAGAAATAGGCTATCATTTACAATGATTTTATCATTTTAATAGTACCACCACCACCATCATCATTTTTTATAAGAGAAAACTAAAGAGGCAATATATTTGATACGTGTGTGTGTGTGTGTGTGTGTAATATAGTTATTTCCCGAGAGTTAGGAAATAATAGAACTCCCCTAGAATTTTCAATCCCATGGTTAATAGGACACTATTGTGATTGATCTGAGCTAAATCAGGTCAGTACAATCTGAGAAAACATCTGATATTTACATATCCAAAACCTAGAATAAGTATTGCTTAGAGTAAATACTCAATAAGTATGTGCTGAACAAATGAATAACTACACTATGGTACATTGAGGGACTAACGTACATTAATTAGAGTCTTAAAGTAGTCAAAGAATCTTAGACTTTTTTTTGAGTTGGTAAGCTGCTTACATTGAAAATCACTATTTAAAGCTAATAAATTCTTCTCACATCCATTTCTATAGAAAGCAATCCTGAACATATATTTGTTTACTGTTGAATCAATAGTCCTAACTGACTATGGACAACTAGCAAAATATAGATGCAAAATCAATAATATCATTTGAGGAAAAAGAAGTTTTGTTTATAAATGGCAGATTAATTTTTCAGAATAAATGACAGAAAATCAAAGGTCTCAGATTTTAGACACTTTTTTCTACAATGATCCTCTCTACAATGTGGAGGTGAATTGTCAAAGCAACAGAGATGATGGGTTTCATGAGGCCAGTCCTCAGAGTGACCACACTCCTTCACTCAAAACTCACCATGGACATTTAATCTAATGGACTGAGTCACATTCCCAGCAAGATTTGTGGCAACACAAAGATACATCCCACTATCAGAAACTCGAGTCTCAGTGATCTTCATTGAGCCAGAAGGGAGAAACAGGTGTCTAAAAGAAAGAAAACACAGGACAGAATAGTTAAATATCCTCTATGGAGTTGCTCTAAAGTGTGGGACTTCTGCGGGGTAAGCAGCTATGGAAGCCTATGTCTAATGCTATTCTTCAAATTAAGAACTAATACTTATCTTATACACTCTGTACAGCATTCATGCAAATGAAAAATTAATTTCTTTTTACCTTTTAGACCTAACCTAATGATCTGAAATGATCAAATGATTACATACTTCTCTGCTCCACAAACTTGCAGCTATACAAAAACGTGTGTTTCTGCAAACTTTGAATTTATTTTGAACACTTTATTATTTTTAAAATAATGTGTTAAAGGCAAAAGAAGTACACAATAATTATCAAATATATAATGAACATATTCTTTTTATTGAATACTAATATAGCTGGATGAACCAAAACTACATATAAAAATGTTATTACACTAATTGTCTTAAATTAGCCTTATGGAAAAGGCCAGGTAGAGCTATTTAATATCAACATTTGTTAAAAAGGTAGTTAGAGTGAGCAAACAGACAAATGGAAAAATAGTTAAGGACAGATACCACCAGCATCTCCCCCCCCCCCAAAAAAAAGGAAAACACACACACACACAGAGTTGTAAACAGAGGAAAATTATCTTTGTAATGTGCAATATCCAGGTGACATTACAAAAACCAAGGAAAGGATTAGCTAGTCCAAAATAGCATTGGACAACTAGCTTTCCACATGGGTCAGATTAATTATCATGCTATTTAACATGACACTCAAAATAAAAATTTATATAAATTAAAGTTTAAAATGTAAAAAGCAAAATTTTAAATATTTGGAAAAAAATCAGAGGTTATGTTTATGATCTTCATAAAGTAAAAATCTGAGAAATAGATTCATTGCAATAATAAAACTTTTAAAGTTCTGTATAACAGGATAGCACACAGAAACAAACTTAAAAGCCTGGCAGTAGAATGAGAGAACATATTCTCAATACATATAGCATACAAAGGATTGTTATCAAAACAAAAACCTAATTTATACATTTGTTATAAAAAAGACAAGTTTCCAGAAATTGGTGCAGCAGATAAAGAAGCAACTCACCAATAACACAGTCAACAAACAAATAAACATCAGTCACATAACACCATTTCTCACCCATCTAATTGCCAGTTTGTAATAAGTCAATATTACACATTGATAACAATACAGAAGTAGGCTAGGTGCATTTATATTTGATCATCAAAAGGTTAAATGAGTTCTGTTCCTTTAGTGAATAATGAGGCAATGTCTATGAATCTGAAAATAGAAATTCACCCCAACCAGAAATGGCAATTCTAGGTACAGGTCCTAAAGAATTCATGCAGGTACACTGAAAGAAATGTGAAAAGATATGAAGTGAAAACCTTGTTTATAAATGCCTCCTTCCAAAATGAATAGAGGACCTTCCTGGTGGCCTGTAAGTCTCAGCACTATCACCATTATGGCCTGCTTCCCATCCCCCTGAGTTCAATCCCCAGTCAGGGAGGTGACCCACATGGCACAACAGAGCTCTCCTGACTCGCCTGCTACTCTCCTCAGCAGTTTATTTCTGTAAATCTGCCTGTTCTGCTCTCCACTTTATCTCTGGTGAGTCTTCTCACCTCCCCCACCACATCTCTGACCTACACACCAGTTCTTTGCTGGAAAAAAAAAATATTGAAAAAGTATAGAGAAAAATTAAAAGAACATACATTTCTATAAATAGGGAAATGTATAAATAGAATGTGCCATATACTTGTTAAGATAAACAAATATTAAATCTATATGTTCACAATGGATAAATGTTAACAATAAAGCAAGGAAGAGAAAACTAATACGTAATATGTTATAATGGAAAATTGAGAACAGGCACACAAAACAACATTTAAAGTTGTATATACAGAATGCCAAATCTGGGCACTGTTTGTTCTTGGAAAGGGAGGAAAAGATAATCACTGGAGAAGGGGAGAATAAAACTTCATCTTGTCTGTATTATGATGTTTCTTTTATTCAAAATCATTCATAGTAATTTTTTACTGTAACATTAAAATTATGTAAAGTAGTTTCTGTTTATTGTTCTTATCACCAGTGGGAGAGAAACTGCAGCGGCATTAATCTCCAATTTCATAATTATACATCAACACATCTAACAGACACTATCTAGAGAATATAGTTCTTATTCTGCCAGTAAATTCTGGCATGATGTTGAGTCAAAATGATAATTGTTACCATTCCTTGTGAATTAGACATGGACAGTGTGGAATACACATTATCTCCTATAATTTCAGGTAAATTTTATGACTTTTTCTAAACAAAAAATCTGAAGCTCAGAAGGACTTGTTGAAAAAAAATCACAGAGAGTTCCAAGCAAGTTTTAGGTCATGGAGATAATGTTCGACTGAAATCTGCATTGCCACAAAAGGTGTAATCTTAAATACATCTGCTTTCACACCACTTAACCTATCAAATATATTATCATAATGGACCTTTACTTGTGTAAGGGTTTAATCAAGAAGGTTTTTACAAAAGCATCTAATGAAAATATAATCCCAGATCAGAGTGCCTACATATATTATTGCTTTATTGGGATTAATGGAATGCTGCGTGTGATGGAGACTTGATGCAATAAGAATCCACACACAAATTTGCTTCATTGTAGTTACTTCCCTATAGGCTGCACCAGTGGAGTGGGAAAATATGTCAGAATTAGGGTCAGCATTTCGGATACTACACCGTGATTTAGAAAGCTTATATCTTTTCTACAGGGCTGGATGTACAGCCAAATTATTCTACACTTAAATTTTTTTGAGGCTATTTCTAACTGTATTTCACATTTTCTGACCTCTCAATCTGTTTGTTTGTTTGTTTTGGCTAGTACTCTTGACAAGTTTGGTGTTTGGTGATGTTCTTTTCGTTTTTGTAGACTCTTTTTTTTCTTCCTCCATGACTATCTTTTTTAAAACTATTTTTTCGATAGCCATAGCTAACTGAGACCTGCCCTTAATTCCCTGATGATAAAAACAAGGCATTTGTTACCACTGCTATTGTCAAATACATTAAGACAAATGTTTGGACTAACCAGACTGCTTAGGAAAGTCCTAAAGTAAAGTTTACACATATATAAATTGAATCTAAGTACATCAGGAAAAAAATATGAGCAAAACATAAACTTTGCCAGTAATTCAGAAACCAAGATATCTATAAGTGATAAAAGCTCCAATTAACAAAAGCTTCCCTTGTTAAATGTGGACCACACATATTCTAAATAAAACCCACCACTTAGGAAATAAAAAGTGAGACATTTGAAAATTTGAACAGGGACAGAACCATATGACCCAAGAAATGATACTTTCTTGGGCTGCAACTCATCTAAGATTCCTACCTTGGAGAGAATGGAGAGATGAGCTGGGTCTCTTTGGCCCAGGTAATTATGGGTGGTGGTAAGCTCTTGACTTCACAGGGAAGTGTCACCTCTTGCCCTGCAAGGACGGAGATCTCCACAGGCTTGTCCTGAGACAGTCCTCGCTGTTCTCCAAATACTCTGGGCCTTACTAAAGTAAACACACATTTTGGAAGGAAAATAATACACTGAAAGCAAAGTGTACTTTAATTACATGGAAATGTAGAAATACCTAATATCCTTAATATTCTTAAGTAATTTACCAAAAATGTTTATCCTAAAATTTTGGAAAATTATCTAAAACTTTCCATTAATACACTTACTAGGAAAGCTAACAGGAAAATGATGTAGAAGGTTTCTTTCCTGCTCTTCCTTTCAGAAATAATGAAAAGATTGGCTGCAGTGCCCTTTAGAGTCTGCTGTCTGCAAAAGAAAGCCCTCAAGGCAGAGCACTAACCAAGACATAGCTGAGGTTTGGCTTCATTAGGCATTTTAACTAAGTAGTGTTTCTGAAGAGCGTTGGGTGCAATAAGCCTACTCCTTGGAAAAACATCATAAAATGTTTCTAAAAGACTTGAAAAGTAGTCTCCCTTTAAAACAAAACCTAAGCATCGGAGATGCTGGTTGGTCATAAAAATGCACATGTATAAAAATTATAAACTTGAGGGAACAGTTTGCTCATAACACTATTTGGGAGAGAAATGCGAGCTTTGGCACAGACAGAGTCCCAGAAACCCAGTCCTCCAGGGCTCTCACCGTAGACAGTTAACTGCACTTTCCTCTTGGCATAGCCAGCCGCGTTGGTGGCTGTGCAGATATACTCTCCGCTCTCCTCCCCACTGGGGGACACAACATACAGACTCCCATCAGCCCCAGCTGAGAACTTCGCACTGCTGGTGGAAATCAGTTCTCCTTTCTGCAGAAGACAGCAAAGACCAACGTATTCATGAGGGAAGCTGGTGGGACAATGTGACCCCTCACAACAAAGCTATGTAAATAACTGACAGATTAATCAAATGTGTGAAAAAAAGATTATAAAGGAGTAACTGAACGTCTGGAAGAGAGAGGGAAAAGTATATTTCCAAAGAGAAACACGTAGATTGAAAAAGTGCTAATATGAAGGCAGTTATTGATAAGAAAACTTAGACAAAGCTGAAGTGCTATTGTCTCATACCAAACCCAGTCCCCTTCATTACAGAGTTATTGAAAAATGGAGCAGTGGGTGAGCCGGTGCTTACAGGCAGAGGCAGGTGCTGTACTGGCTACTATTTGACTGGCCACACAAACATTATGAGGAGAGACCACCACTACTCCATTTTACAGAAGAAAATGTGAAAATCTGGAGGTGGGGGTTGAAGCAACTAGTCTAAGGTCAAAGAGTCAGTGGAGGAGAACAAGAACCCAGCAGTCAGACCCTGAACCCCAAACTCTTTTTTAAAGATTTATTGATTTATGCATATAGAACTAGGGGAGAGGACAGAGGTGAGGGGAGGTGAGAGGATCCACCAGACAGCGTGAAGAGCAACAGGCAGATTGAGTAGGTACAATGCTGAGGGGAGCAGCGAGCAAGACAGGAGAAGTCTGCTGTGCCATGTGAGTCACCTCCGGGGCTGGGATCAAACTCACACGGAAGTGGCTGTGGTTGGCATTCAATGCTGCGCTTTAACCCACTGTGCCACCAGGGTAGCCCTGAACGCCAAACTCTTAACCTCTGTGGCACCCCAGTCGGCATGTAAAGATTTCTTTTTCATATTTCCCTAAACTGCATTAAGCTTCTACTCCACAAAAGACACTGCCAGTTTTGGATCACCTTTATCATGTACTTTGTTGTCCAAAATGCAGAAATCTTGGTCTTTTAATTTCATTTACAGATGTCAACTTACTAACTTCATCATATAGGGAGACCTCATTTTACTGAGATTTTTACAAAATTGAAGGTTTGTGATCTCCTGGTGCTGAGGAAGTGCATTGGAGCCTCTTTTCCAACAGTATGGTGAGTGTATGTCACATTATGTAATTCTCACAATATTTAAAAATTTTTTCATTATTATATATTATGGTGATCACTGATCAGTTATCTTTGTGTTACTATTATAATTGTTTTGGGATGCCTCAAGCCGTACCCACATAAGATGGCCAATTTTATCCATCAATGTTATGTGTTCTAACAATTCCCCTGACTGGCTGCTGCCCCATCTTTCTCCCTCTCCTCAGATGGCCCTCTTTCCATAACCCTGAAATGGCTTCTAAGTATTTAAGTGAAAAGAAAAGTCACATGTGACTCTGTAATATGTTTGATGAGAAAGTCATTTCAAAGGATCAAAGAGGGTGAAAGCTAGGCCTTCTGTGCCAAAGATTTAGCCAGGTTATGAATGCAAAGGAAACAATCATGAGGGAAGTTAAAAAGTGCTGATCCAGAGAAAACATTAAGATAAGAAAGCAAAACAGCATTATTTCTGATATAGAGAAAAATTTAATGGCAGGGATAGCCAATCAGTCGCAACTTTCTCTTAATTCAATGCAGAATCCAGAACAAGTCTCTACTAGTGCTCTTTGATTCTATGAAATTTGAGTGAAGCGAAGAAGCTGCAGAAGAAAAGTTTGAACTTAGCAGTGTTTGCCTTATGAGTTTAAGGAAAGGTGCTATTCCTGACATAAAAGTGCAAGGTAAAATAGCAAGTGTTGAGGTAGAAGTTATAATAACTTATCTAGAAGATCCAGCTAAGATTATTGATGGTGGAGGTTATATGCTACAGTAAACTTTCAGTGTAGATGAAACAGCCTTACAGTGTAAGGAAATGCTGTCTAGGTAGCAGAAGTCAATTATTGGTTTCAAAACTTCAAAGGGCAGAGTGACTTTTTGTTGAGGCCAGCTAGTGACTGAAATTGAAGCCAATGTTTATGTATCATTCTGAAAACCTCAGGCCCCTTTAGAATGATGTTAGATCTACTCTATCTGAAGTCTATAAATGAAACACAAAGTGTGAAGTGTGGGCATTAGCATTTCTAATATATTATATATTAGGATATAAACAACATGGCCTATATTACTGAGTATTTTAAGCCTGTTGTTGAGATCCAGTATTTGAAAGGAAATATTCCTTTCAAAGTATTATTGCTAATAGACAATTTACTTGGTCAATCAAGAGCTTTGATGAAGTTGTTCAAGGAGACTGATGCTGTTTTCATGCTTGCTAACAACATACATTTCATAGCTATGGATCAAAGAATCATTTTGAATTTCAAGACTTATTACTTCAGAGGTGCATGCTGAAGGCCATAATTACCAAAAACAGTGATTCCTCTGATAGATCTGGGCAAAGTTGCTCAAAAACCTGGAAAATATTTACCATTCTAAATACCAATAATAAAATTCCTGAGTCATGGAAAGTAGTAAAGATATCAAAGATTGAGAGATGTTTATTTTAACCCTCATAGATGATCGAGGAGTTCAAGACTTTGATGGAAGAAGAAATTGTAGATGTGGTAGAAACAGAAAGAGAAATAGAATTAAAGTAGAGCCTAAAGATGTAACCAAACTGTTAGAATCTTACAGTAAAACTTTAATGGAGGAGGAGCTACTTCTGATGAATCGGCCAACAAAATAGATTTTTTGATATGGAATTTACTTCAGGAGAAGAATGTGTGAACATTGTTGAAATGACAACAAAAGATTTAGAATACTGCATAAACTTGGTTGAAAAATCAATGGCAGGGTTTGAGAAGACAGACACCAATTTAGAAAGAAGTTCTACTATGTGTAAAATGCTACCAAAAACAGTACATTCTACAGAGAAATCTTGTGAAAAGAAAAATCCATCAAAGTGGCAAACTTCACTGTTGTCTAATTTTACGATATTGCTGGGGCCCTCCCTTATGGCACAATGGATTAAAACACAGCACTGGGAAGCTAGCCACAGCTGCTTCAACACAACTTGGATTCCTAACCAGGGAGGTGACCCACATGTCACAGCAGACCCTCTCCTGCCTTGCCCGCTGCTCCCCATCAACAGAGTACTTCAACGATCTGCCTGTTCTGCTCCCACGCTGTCTCTGGTGAATCCTCTCACCACCCCTGCTCCCCACTCTGTTTCTGGTGAGTCCTCTCAATACCCCTGTACCTCTGGCGTATACTCCGGTTCTGTATGCATAAATAAATAAATCTTTAAAAAAAAAAAAAGAAATTACCACAGACACCCCAACCATATGCAATCACCACCCTGATCTGAAATCTTCAGATAATTTTAGATGAATAAAGTATGTTCAATTAAGTTATGTAACTTGTTTTCTCAGACATAATAGTATTGCTCACTCAAAAGGCTACAGTATAATCTAAACATAACTTTTATACGCATTGAAAAACAACAAAAAAATTCATGTGTCTTACTTTACTGAAATAATTGCTTTATTATGGTGGTTTGGAACTGAAAAGATACATTACATGAAAGATTTTCAGATAGTATGACAAAATATTTTGGTTGTAGCACTAATATTACAAATGTCATATTTCATTATTATTACATAATTTTATATTATTTTTATCTGCCAGATTTAAATTAATTTACAGAAAATATGCTATCTTTATGGCTTTTCAAAGATGGAAAGGACTTCCTCAGGAAATGTTTTTTTTCCTCACTGCAATACAAGTAAAAGTTTACAACTTCATGATAAGGATGTAAAAGAGAATAAATGAGTTTGCATGTGTGTCATTTTTGGTTTCCCAGAAGAGTAGATCTAGACAAAGATGTGTGAACAGGAAATTTATTCAGGATGGAGCCCCCAGAGCCTTGAGCAGGAGGGGAGAGAAAGAAAGAAGCTAATAAAGGGCTCCCCTGCTCTGCTGCCTTTGTGGCTGGGCTGATGAGTTTAAATGCGAAGACCTTCCAGCTATGCAGAATGATTTTTCTGAAGAAGGAAAAGCAGGGCATTTTTATAGCACACCTACTCCTCCCCACAAGACTTAAGGCCTCTGAAGTTCTTGACTCCCTTCGTGAGGCCTGAGTGGTCTTCTGATCTTTTGAGAAAACTGGGGCCCTCCCTAGTGGCGCTACCAGTAAGGATGCAGCAGCCGCGGCAGCTTCTGTGCAAGTTGATCGCCACCCTAGAGGTGATCCACATGGTGCAGCAGATCTCTCCTGACCTGCCCTCTGCTCCCCTCAGCAGTATACCTCATCAATCTGCCTGTTCTGCTCCCCACTCTGTCTCTGCTGAATCCTTTCACCACTCATGCACCTCTGGCCTACATCCCAGTTCTGTATGCATAAATAAATAAATCTTAAAAAAAAAAAAAGACTTTGAGAAAACTGATTAGAGCAGGGAGAAACATGCATGAAGTGTGACCTGGCAGAAGGTACAAGCTGTCTCTACCCCTACCCCATGGAGCTCTGCCCCCTCCCCATGCAGCTCCAAAATCAGAAGGGAAGAGCTCAGTGGTGAATCTGCTAGCGAATGGAAGAGGATTTGAGAAGGACTTGACACACAGAGTATGCTATCACATATACACTGATGAGTTGTTCACACTGTTCAAGAATCACATAGGAATAGCAGTTAAGCTGCCCATTAAGATTCCTTCTAACTAATACAGCTGCATGTTGATTTCCTTTCTATAAAGTTCTGTGGTATAGTCACAAATACCATTATGATAAAAAATATTCAACTATTGTAATTGCTGTTGGTATAATATGTGACATTAACAGAGATCACCAGTTGTGTGACTTACCTTGGACCAGACGATATTTGGTTTGGGAATTCCACTTGCTTTGCATGGTAGAGTTATTGGAACACCTTCAACTGTACTGAGTATCTGCTGCCCATGCTGGATGGTTGGCAGAACTGAAAAAAGAAACAGGAACCAGAATCTTAGCAACTTCCCTTCCATATTAACCTCTACTTTATTTAAAGTTGAACATATTAAATATATACTAAATAAAAAACCTAACAAAGATTCAGGGAAATTATGTTTTGATCTGAAGTAGTAAATAAAACTTGAATTCAAGTAGTAAATTATGTCCAGTAACTTCCCTAGTAAAATAAAAAGGGACTGAATAAACTGTTTTTTTCCCCCCCTGGAAATCTAAGATAAGATTATCTGCTAAAATTTACATATCTTACACTTCTCTTTCATCATTGTATATTGTCTATTATAGCATCTGTGAGCTGGTAAACCCACTAGCGGAATGGTTTGGTTAACCACCACACATTAAATATCTGTGTAAATAAAGTACACCTAAGAATCACTTAATGAGCCTTTAAGTATAATGTAGAAAAAACTACTTTATTATTTTTAATTTTTTTAATATATTCATTACACCATCTTTCATTTTTGCACAATATATGATTTACCCATGAATTGCCACCACCAATTCACACATGCATCATCACTGTAGTCTCTGTGCTCTTCCCACTCTAGTCCTGATCCATCTCTCTCCTCCTCCCCTAAGAATGTCTCTGATCTATAGCTGCCTGATACTTTTTGATTACTATGATAAATATCAAAGAATTTGTTTTCTTAAAGGAAATTCAATAGTAAAACTTGAAAGGCCTTAGAATTGCAGAAATATAGAATTCTAAGTCAATATTTTCATTAAGAAGAATAACATACCTTTTGACTTTAGAAAGCAACTAAAGAATTAACATTATGAGTAGAAGTGAAAGGAAAAGGAAGACTGTTAATCAATCCATTCTGTAGATAACTCCAGTAATTATAACCAACTCACATACAAAAACCCTAACAACACTCAGGGCTCTCAAAATAGTAATCTGAAATATAGAAGTTCCCATAGAAGTGAACCCTTAACATCATAGAATGAGCACAATACAAGCCAATATAGACCAGATAATTCCCTTCCTTCTCCTGGGAAGACAAGAATGGGACAGCTCCCTTCAAGTCAAGCATTCACTGTCTCTTGCCTCTCTGTCAAATGTCTTCAGAATTACGAGAACTATCCTGGAGTAGAAGTTTGGCAGAACAAGATACCAGAGACATCAATGTAAAAACCATCTTGGAAAGCTTTGATTAGGTTTGCCACATACTCACATTTTCCTATACTTGGTATTACTCTAGATAATTTCTTCATAAAGAATTGGCATCACATTTCCATCTCTAAAAAAAGAACATCAGGCTTCTTTCTAAAGTAAGAAATTTAATTTCTATAATCATCATGGAATAATCAACTTTCAACTATGATGTCATTTTGTGGGCAACATAGAATAAGCTATTTTCTTCAATGTATATTGAATTTGACAGTTATAAACGAAAGTGGCATATTTAAGCAACAGTTTTGAAATATGATGACACTTGGGTATGGAAGAGCTGTTTCTTTCCAGATTGCCAATCTCTGTAAATCAATATGACAATGAAAATGGTTTGTCATTTTACTCTGCATTTATATTTGTATTCATCAATTTAATCTTCTAAGAATTGGGTGAGAGTCTTTTCTGAGTATTTTTAAAAGTAAAGAGACAGAGAGATGAAAGTTTGGCAGTGCTAACAACATAAATACAGAGGTGTAGAGAGGCTGTGATGCTAAGTTAATCTAACCCAAAGACAAAACTGCATGATTGCTGGCTTAGTTAATATTAAGTGATTGGGATGAATATCTTTAGATTTATTGACTAAATTGCCTACACATTTTGGACTAAGATGGATTAAATGATGTTGTGAAATGACATATTATCTTTAAATTATTAAATTTTATTGCATTATGATGAACCACACCACTGATTTGTCTGTCTTCTCACTCTGACTTGGTAGACACCACAACTCATTCAGTCACCCATTCACCTGTGACTTGAATATACAGAAACATTATTTAGATGAGATTGGGAGACTGGAAGAAAGTTCTCACACATGTGCAATCACCAAACATCACAGAATCTAAGTATAAGAGACATGCATCAGAAGAAACAGACAATGTCTCCCTGGCCAGCAACTGCTCGGCCGATAAAAAAATGTTCATCCTAAAGGCAAAAAAAGAAGTGTCCTTTACTCTGAGAAAGTATGCTCATATTCAACAATGAGACTGCACTTTCCAAAATGTGGTGTTATTTCTGAAAAAAAAAAAAAAGCATACTGCTATTGAAATAATTGATTGCATATTTTTGAGGTCAACACACCCAAAATTTCCTCCAAATTCTTCTCAACACAATATTTTAGACAGTTACTAGAATCCAAACGGAGGTGATATGAAGTTATGTTTAAACTAAATTCTTAAGCCAGTCCATAATTGTTCTCTCAGAAATCTAGAGTTATCTTTAAACACACACATACACACATACACACACACAGACTATATTCAATTTGGCATTGCACATTTAGTCCTTTAGGCTATAACTAATTTAATGTTACTTTTGCATTCTTCAACATAGTATTTCTTCAAGAATATTTATGTGGATTTGGTATAAGGTTGAAAGAGATAGAAGGCTATTTACAAAGAAAGCTGACATTTGCTGAAACATATTCTGGATGTTTACCAATATTACATCAATAAAATATACCAAAGAAAAAGTTAAATGTTTAACTCAGAAAAAATAATATGATTCAAAAATAAGGTAACTGCCTTAATAGTCTAAAAACACTTTATAGCTTCAAAGAAAGAAAGTCAAATATCAATTCATTGTGCTCTTTTGTCCCAACTGTTGCCCAAATCTTTGGAGTCTCCATACCAGTTTTATCTACAAACAATTTGGCTGTCCATGCCAAGTTGCTAAATATACTCAAGTCCTGAAGCTTTGATAAAAGAGATTTTCAAAATAAAAATAAGGAAATAAAGTAAAAAGATGATCTCTTCAAAAGAATATGGCCTGAATCCATTGAAATTTTCAACAGAGCAAGTAGGAAACTACTGGAATGTCCAATTCATGTCCTTAAAAAAAAGACTGAATTAACTACTAAAAATAAATGTTCTGTGCTACTTTCTTCCTGAGGCATTCACCCCTGTATACAGAGCTATTTTTAATATTACACTTAAAAGATAAGATCGATGTTGTAAGGTTCTTTTCTTTTTAAGCAAATATAACAACAACAAAACCAGTTAAGACAATTTCTTAAATTATGAAGTTGTCATTTAATGAGACATAAAGTGTTTGGTAACTGTTAAGCTGCTAGTCACAAATAGAAAAAGACTGCTTCTGGGTTTTCTTATTTGTGACCTTTAAGTTATTTAACTAATATAAGAAGTTTGTTTGAAGCAAATGGGGTGACCTTTAGAAAAGTTTAGGTCATTTCTAGCTAACACACAAAGGGGTCATTAGTAAGACATGCTTGTTTCACAATCCAAAAAGAAAAGGCAATTTGGATAATATAATAAGTTCAGATTCCCGAAATGAAAATGTATTTTTAAACATAATTCTTTGAGAACTGACTTCACTTTTATCAATTAAGGGATTACATACAAAAAGTCCTTGACAAGCTGGAAACTCACAGTAATGTCTTCTTGTATACACTAGAAAGGGAAATCTGCAAAGAACCTTACCACTGTAAACAGTGTTCAAGAAATAAGGATTTTATTAGGAATAACAACTAGGGAGAATATTTTAACCAGGGAAATGGAATTTTAGATTTAAAGATAGGAACCCAAGCTGCTTTGGCAAGAATTACAATCAAGTGTCTCTTACCATGCACATCGACAGTGGTAGTTTTGTTATTGGTTCCAGCAACGTTACTAGCCAGGCAAGTATATTCGCCTCCATCCTGAAGGCGAACTCTTTCAATATGGAGGCTCCCATCACTGCGCACAGTGATGTAAGGATTTTGGACCAACTTAAAGAGAAAAAGTCATTTTTAATTAAAAATGCAATGTCACCTAAGCCAAAACTGGATCTACTTCATTTCCAACTGGGTTTTAAGCTTCTTAGAAAGTAGAAAATTATTTTAACATCCTTCAGTGAAAAATGATGAGCCTACATTTTTACCAAGCACAGTATCAATTATATGTAATTGTGATATAATTCCCAAACTTTTACCTACTAACTTTTGTCAGAGTATATACATGCTAGAAAAGAAAAAAAAAATCAGTCAGTTCATCAGTCAGGACTCAAATTTCACTTTGAGTAAAATTTTGCACAGTAATTTTCACTTTGGGCTTAAGTAAGGCTTTTTTCCAATGACCACTAGCAAGTCACTTGAGGTATTTTTTTTGGCACCTAAGTACTCATTCAAGTCAAGAGAAAGTGACAATTTCAACACCCACCCTTGTCAGTGTCAGATACAAATATTAGAAGACAATGTAGGCTAGAGGAAGTGTGTCAGAGAAGGCTAGGAATAATTTAAGATTACAAGAATGATTTTTAAGATGATCACATCTAAATCTGTGCCATTTATGCACTCGGCTCATGAACAGGATACACAGTGTTCAAACAGCATCATGTTGTGTTGTAAAGGCATTTACTATGGAAAGAGGTGTACAATTTTTCTCAGGCTGTGACACAAATTTATACAACTTTATACATTACAACTTTATATATTATTCATGGAAACAATTCACTCCTACTTGGTATTTCAAGAAGATAGTCTAACTATTCTGGAAAATGGAAGAAAAAAATGCTATGAAAACTGACTGCCATAAGTAATAACATGCTTACAGAAAATCTTCATGGAATTGTAAACAATTTTCACTTTCTTTCATAATTAAGAATTAAACACTGATAAAATACAAGACAGTGACATATATTTAAATAATTCATAAAACATTTAGTACTTGAAATAATAAAGGTTAATGTATAAAATGGAAGCCTTTTATGTAAATGTTAACATTTCATTATGCCATGCAATGTATATAAAATTTTTAAATGTTATGTAAAGAACACTTGTTTTAACTTTTATGTCTTCTCAGAAGAGTTTCTGACATGGAACTTAATAAAAATGACACCACTGACTATATCTCCATTTCATTAATTCCTAAATAATATGAACTGTTAATAATGGTACTCTTACAAAACACATTCATTAAATTGATATTTCATGACTTAAATAGCAAAGACATGGATTTATAATGTTCTTACCATTGCTGAATTCTTCATCCACCGACGTTCTGGAATGGGATTTCCAGCCAACAGAGCACAGGGCAAAGTCAGCTGCTGTCCTTCAATGACACTGGCCACTGATGGGCTGATTCCAATAAGCGGGGCCACTGAGTCAAAGAAAGCGCACATTCAATGCTATTTCACCCAAAAGAAGTACAGACTATTTCATAGGCCTCTCTAGTGATGCTGTAAGAATTGACTTTTCATGAACAAATATTTAAAAATATAAGTAGGCATAAATTTGAAGGTGGAGTTAAAGCACTGGGAGAATTAAGAAAATAAGTAACAGCACACATGTAGAGAAATTTACAAAAAAAGAGTAAGTTATGACATGGAAAACAAGAAATGACAAGCTAAGAAACTCGCAACATTTTTAGTACACAAATGACGAGTGACTAAGATATAAAAGTGAAACTAGAATGATTTTCAGGAATTATTAATATGAAAACAGAATAATACTTATTGACTATATGAAAATCAGAAAATATGAAATCAGTGAGGAAGCTGCTTTGATATAATGGCTCAAGGAAATAAAATTAGCTGGGCTGCCTTAAATGGGATGACAAAGAAAAATTTGTAAATATCTTGTTTTCTAGAAATCAGTAAGTAAATTTAACATAAATCAAAACAAAATCCCTAAGACACTACTTGGAAAATTTAAGGTATATATAAATGAAAAAAGAAAATTATAAAGAAAAAAATTATGTAAGTATATTAATGAAAAACATACACTGTCAGATTTAAAAATCACATTAAATATTGTAGTAATTTAAGCAATTTTAGTAGTCCTAGTGCATAAATAGACATAGATGTAAGACCCAGCAAGAGGAATAGCCATATATAAAAACTCAGCATGGGAAACAATGCCCATAAGTCTAATAAGTGGGAAAAGAATACTTAAGAAAGATAATGAAATGAATGTGCCAGCACTTGGTAATAAATATGGTATCCTTATTTTATATTATATACAAAATCATTCTAAATGGACTAAACTGATAACTGTAAAAAAGGTAACCAGAAAAGAAATTCACCATCTTAGTATTCATTTAGATTTAGATCAATTCATTCTAATTAAGGTAGATGATCCCCAGTTCTAACACCCTATGACATGGAGTGGAAATAGAAAGGTAGTCCAGTGATCTGACATCTCTTTTGTTTTTAAGTGATATTAGCAGCAGATGATACAGTTAAAAAAAAAAAAAAGCCTGACGATTTTGATGTGTATAGTGTTTAAACACATAATTGATCTTACCAAGTCCTGTCACTGTTACCGTTGTCTGGGACTGGATTTTTCCAAACTGGTTTTCAGCTTCACAAATATAGGTTCCTTTATCACTTGCCCATAAGTCTAAAAAGAAGAGATCATTTACTTATTCAACACCATCTATGGAGCATTAACTATGTTCCAGTTAGTGCTGGGATCTGTGGATGGAGAGAATAGTATTGTCTTCTGGTAGTTCCCATTCTAAGGGAGAAGACAGACATAAAACAATCACACTGCAGCTTAATAAAGGCTGTAATAATATATTTAAAACAATGAACTATAGAAGCACAGACACAGGAGTGATTGACCATGTATAGGGAAGTTAGGGAAGATTCAAATAGAAGTAATATTTGAACTGTATCCAAAACAGCAGGTAAACTGAAGACTATAAAAGCACAAATTCACAGAGAACTATATACCCGCCCATGTTCACTGTAGCATTATATAGAGTCAGGTTGGAAACAACTTAGAAACCCATTAACAGGCAAGTGGATAAGGAAGAGGTGATATACATACACAATGACTATTACTCAGCTATACAAAAATAAATCCTGCCATTTGCAGCAACATGGACATATGTAGATGTTATTAAGCTTAGTAAAATAAGTCACATGCAGAAAGTTAAACATTGTATGATTTCATTCAGATGTGGTGTGTAAAGAATCAAAACAAAACAAAAATAAGTATTTAACTGTAACACCAAATTACTAGGTATCAGAAAAGAACAAGAAGCAGAATGGGTAAACTGGGCAAATAGAGAATCTATATGGCAAATGATGGAACTTTATTTTTAGTGGCAAAAATTATAATGAATTTACAGGTGCTGATTTATAATGATACACATCTGAATCTTATGTAATATTATTTCATGTTTCAATGTTATATCAATTAAAATACAGCAGGTAGAACAACTATTTGGGGGGAAAAGTGCCCCGAGGTTGCTGCACCAACCTCAGGGCACTTTGGATATTTACAGGGGAGATTTTTAGTTGACCCAGTGATTTGAGAGTTTGTTAAAATTTACATGGAGCACATCACAAAATAAACAATTATCCAAATCCAGCAAGACTTTTGAAAGTACCACTGGAAATTCATGGAGTTGATGATTCTCTTTAATCACATGAGCCTACAAAATAATTCTGCAAGTGGAAAAAAATAAATAACTTCAACAAGAATTGCCACTGTTTTAGAATGAATCATCAGCCCCACATTCCTGCTTTGGTCTATATTTGAGTCATCAAATCCAAAGGGATGCTATAAAAATGTGTATGTATAGTTCATGAAGTCAGAACTGAGCTGTTCATAGTATTTTAATATAAATTTCTTTCTTTTATCTTCATAGTGCTCCATTTTTTATATTAAAGGAATTTTCATTATGTAGGTAGATTTAATATATAAAATTTGTTCAAGATAATAATAAAAACATTACAAAATAGTTTTCATTAAAGAGGGTGCTAGGGGAGAAAGATGAGGACTTTGGGGGTACAGGTTGTGTGTATGGAGTTAGAAAACCAAAAATGAGAGCCCTCACTGGTGGCGCAATGGGTTAATGTACAACACTGTGAATTTATGCTCAGCCAGGCAGCTCGAGTTTAATTAATGGCCAGAAAGGTGACCCCACATGACTCGGAAGCCCTCTCCTGACCCACTCCTGCTCCCCTCAGCAATGTATTTCACTCAATCTGCCTGTTTTGCTCATCATTCTGTCTCTGGTGAATCCTCTCACCCCCTACAATTCTGGCCTGTACCCCAGTTCTTTTATCTTGTATGCATAAATCAATCTTTAAAAAAAAAAAAAAGAAAACCAAAAATGATAAGACAAACCAGTACCTTATAAAGACTGTGGTTTCATCTTGTGAGCAAAAGGGGAAGCAAGATAAGTTGTTAAAAAGGGAAATGGTGATCATTTTTACAACTATCTAAAGATAAGCATGGCTTAATCTGTTGACAGATCATAATTTTAGCAAAGTAAATGTAGCTTCCCGTTATGAATAGCTTCACAGGATTTCAGATAAACAACAGTGACAACATTTTTTACTCCTCTACTAATCACAGGCATTCAATTATGAAAATTGCGCTAGCAAACTCTATCAGTGTCCTCTCTGAACAACAGCAAACATTCATTTGCAAAGGTAAATTCAGCAAATCACTTGGTCAGTAAGTCATTCACTACTTCTAACCAAGATGTTTTCCATATAAACAATCAATCCTGTCCTAATTTTACAGAAAATCAAACTGCCACTCAAACTAAGTTTCTAATCATTAGTATCCTTTCAGATGATTTAATAGATTAAGCATCCATTGGCCAATGCATCCCCCTTTTTTCTTTTTCCTTTTCTTTTATCTTATCTAATCGGTTTGTTTTCAAGTCTTAAGTATTCCCTCTGGAAACTTATCACCTAACCTCTTCACATTTTGTTTTCTATTATTTCTACCCTTACCCTGCAGGAGTTATTCTGATCCTGTCTGTGAAGTTCGGGGCTCTATATTCTCCTCCATACCAAGTGTTCTTCTTCACTTGCACAATCTAACCCAATCTAATATAAGTACCTCCAATAAGTAACCTTGAAAGATATTACTCAATTTACTGTAAAAGTCTAAGGTGGCACCTCAGATTTGAGTTCTGCCTTCAGCACAGAGCCTAGCAATGAACAGAATACATCAGCACTTGTAATTATACCACTTAGCTTTTTTACTCAGAAGTTTAGGTGACATATGTACACAATATTGCTAATAAACATATACATCACTTATTGGAAGTTTTCTATAAAATACCTAAAACAGTCAATTACTTCTTAAAAACCAACTAATGATCTAAATGTCTTTATTCATCTGAGGTCACTATACAAATATTTTTGAAAAGATGCAAAATACAAATATCTGAATGCTTAATGGTTTATAGGTAAGATTTTCTGATGATAGAGTATTTGAATTTTTCTTTAACTATTTGATCCAGGCAGGTAGTGTTTAATCAAGGAGCCTTCAAGGAATATATTGTCCCTATACATATAGTTATGTATTGCTAGCCAAAAATAATGAAAGTTTTACCACTGGTAATATAATACTTTCTACAACGTTGGTACAAAGTTCAGTAAAATGGGATTACCTATCCATCTACAGCTAGCCCACTAATTCTATTTGTAATAAGAAACAGTACAAGGTGAATAAAACACATTGGTTTATAAGCCTTTATGATATATTAATGACATACATTTGAATAAAATATCCATATATGCAAATTCCCATATATAAGAGTTAAATACTATTTTAAAGTGACATGTAATAAACACAAAATGTCTTGACAAGATTAATTCACTATTGTAGATACAGCAATACCCATATCACACACATCTCTATAAAATACATTTCTTTTAACTTACTTGAAATAAAAAGTGCTCCTGTTCTTAGTTGACTGATGGAACTCAATGAAAAGGGTCTTGAGAAGATTGGCATGTTGTCTAACCTTCGCCATTTAATCTTTGGTTCTGGATAACCCTGGACATAGCAAGGTAATGTCACATTTGAGCCAATTTCCATAGATACATCAACAGGTTCTTGTATGAAAACTGGAGGTGCTGGAAGATATTATAAGTAAAAAAAAAAAAAGTAGACAGGAACATTAAATACACATTTAATAAATTTTCAAAAGATTAAATTTAATCAAGTCATTATTTACAAAAAATTATAAATTTGGGCCCTCCGTGGTGACGCAGCAGGCTAAAGCACAGCACAAAGAAGCTTAAACCACTTCCGCATGAGTTCACTTCCCGCCTCCCCTGGAGGAGATCCACACGGCTCGGCAGACGTCTCCTGACCCGCCCACTGCTCCCCTCAGCAGTGTACTTCGTCGATCTGCCTGTTCTGTACCCCACTCTGTCTCTGGTGAATCCTCTC